CCAACTGTAACCAAACGCAGGGACTTAATGGGGTTTCTGATTGAGTTTGAAAGTCAAGTATTAATTTGGTTCGACTTATCCTGAAACTCCAAATAGGCGTATCTCCACAATCTAAGGAAATCTCAGGTGGGTAGTGTCCTGCATACAAGCTTTACAAAACCCATATATAGTCCTAGCAATGTAATCTGTATATAAGCCTTAAGTAAGGGTACCCACCTGGTAATTACCTACCTGAACACTCCCTTTTAACAAGCAGGAGAGGGCCTCAATGAGGCTTTCGGGCAACGAGCCGACTGTGCTCAAAAGGGTTCAGGGCCTACTGAAGCTTCAGGATTTCCTGGCTTGGTGTTGAAGGGTTTTAAGGGTTTAGGGTTAGATATATGTTACATATATATATATATGTATCTGCCATATGTATGATATGTAAAGGTGTAGGAAGCTAGACAAGTTGAGGCTGCCAGGCAGCATGCTCAAGATTCTGCAGGCTTCCGGTCGAGCTGTCATCCTTTTCCGCGGCCTTTGCGGGGCACATCGAATGACAGATCTTACAGGAGGCCCTTACTCGGGCTCTGAGCCGAATGCCCCAGGATATCCTAGGGTTTAGGGCTTAGGGTTTAGGGTTATATTCACATGTTTAGTATTGCTGTCGTCATTATTTCTGGAATAATGAGGTTCCTACTACCAATTAAACGAGCAAGCATATTGGTTATAGGTAAGATGTTGCAAGCTTGGCCAACTAATCGGGGCGGGCTTTCAGGTCATGCACCATCCTGAAGATTCAAACCTATCCCTGAACCCGGGGTTTAAGGTTAAGGGTTTAGGGTTTTAGGGGTTGAAGCCCTAAGCCCAATGAGAGAGTAGGAGGCTTGGAGTTGTCCATCCTGCATTCGCGAGCAACCCTCCCAATGCTGCCTCCACTCGTTGACCCGAATTACCTGCCGTTTCATGGATTTAGAGTTTCGGGCCTGCTGCGTAATCAAGGGGTAATTACTTTTTTTTAATGGTAAAGTATCTAAGTGGGTCATACCTATGAGTTAAGGGGTTTATTGCTACCAAGCTGTAGGTAGTTGTATGCTGTGAAGCTCACCTGCTGAATCCTTAATCATGCTAGAAGGCTACCAGTTGCCAGATGATCTTTAGTCTGAACTCCTTAAGGGGGTTCTGTAGGAGACTATATTGATTATAAGGGGGTGGGATATACAAGGAGTTTAGGCTATAGCTCATATTCAAAGCCTTATAAACCACTATACACACCCAGTTCCCGTTGAAACGCCCATCTTCTTTTCCACTTGATGTTTGTTTTTGTCCACTTGATTTTTTGGTACTGGCCCCTATATCCCATATCCCCATATAACCCTACAAGGACCCCTATATACCCCTAAGCGCGAGCCGTCCCCAAGGTATACACAAGAAAAGCTGGATGAGATTCTGGAATATCTTCGTCGTGTTGGCAGCAGCCGCAAGAAGGCAGGCAAAAGTAATGCGAGCCCTGGGGGGGACCCTTAAGGAAAGAGTTGCCATACAGGGTCCAAAGCTTAATCCCTAAACCTTAAACGCTAAACCCTAGGCCCTACACCCTAAACCCCAAAGCTTAAACCCTAAATCCTAAAGCATGACTTCGGGTGATGTTGAGAAAGTTTGAGGTACCCTGGAGTTACTAGTGGGTTTGGGGTTTAGGGTGGTTACCTACATGTAGGGTTTATGGTTTTACGAGGTTCCAAGTGCCTGATAATTAAGTACATGGCATTTGGGCAGGAATTGTAGCAAGGTTTTGGGGGAAGTATGGTGGGTATAGGGCTTAGGGGAAGTATGGATAGGGTATTTTTCCCCTTAGGGTAAAGTCCCAACTTGTAAGTTAACTCTTTGACTATACCAGCCCTGTGAGGAGCATTTCAGACTGCTTAGTGGAATCGAAGAAGGTGCCCTTCTAGTAGTTCCCGAAGAGACCCCCAAGTACCTTCAAAGAGGGGTCTATACCCTACACCCTAAAACCTAAACCGCGTGGCTATAGAGGGCCGTGGGGCGGGTCTAGGTAGACCTCCCAAAGCCGGGAATTTCCAGCTCCAAATCTGACCTTGGATCTTAAACCCCTGCCCCCATAGCTAGCCCCCTAAAGCATTCCCAAAGCCTACTTACTCCCCGAACCGGAGGTTGAGGCACTCGAGCAGCGAATGGATGAGGTCATTGTCGAGCTTCGCGAGGTTCGGACGCCGCTGGGCCTGTTTACGCGGCTTGGGGTATAGCGTTTAGTTTAGGGTTTGAGGGTTAGGGGTTTAGGGTTTAGGGGTTTAAGGGTTTAGGGGTTTAGGGTTTAGGGGTTTATGATTTAGGGTTAGGGCTTAGTTGAAAGGACCCCTATGTGTGTAGCCTGTACTCAAGAGCTGGCACTT